CCCCCCCGCTGCCGCCCGCCTCCCCACAAGGAACACAGTGAGAGGGTCATTAGGGGACCAGGACTGCAGAGGGGAGCTCCTAGGCTTGCCAGATGGAGGCTGTAAGGCCCCCTGTTCCAGGACCCACAGCTTCCGGAGAAGCTGGAGGGCTGGGTGGGCAGGCCCCCAGAGACCCTTCCTGACTCCCAGGAGAGGGGGTTGGGCGGGACTCAAAACTCCAGCCAGAGTGGAACTGGCCTCTGGAGACAGGGACCTTCAGCTTAGTGTCCACTAAGCTGCGCTCAGAAATGAGCAGGCACCCCTCCAGGGGCCCCATGGGTCTTGGGCCAGTACCCAGACCGGGGAGGCATCCTCTGGCCCCCAGCTACCTCGGAGAGTTAAGGGTTGCCTGGTGCAGACATGCTTGTCAGAGACCAACGTGTAGATTTTACACATTTCTGTCAAGCTCGGTGGACATCCTGCAGCATCCACAGCCTCGGGGAGGTGGGGGTGGAGGGGGGTCAGGGCATTTCGGAAACCATGAAGGCCCTGAGGGTCGAGCAGGGCCACCTTCCCAAGTGACATTCCTTTGTGCAGGCTCAGGGTCGGAGAGCACTAGCTGGGTCCTGTCCCATGTGACCTTGGGGTCCTGTGAGTCAGTGTCCGTCCTGTCCAGCACTCTGCTTTCTGGGTGGCACTGGGATCCAGCACTGGGGGTTGGGACACTTGAGGTGGCCTTGGACCATCCTGAGGTCTGACCCTCAATCAGAGCTGCCAGGCGGAGACAGGTGAGGGCAGAACCTTCCAGTCCTCGGGTGGGGAAAGGGCTTGCAGACTCCTGTGAGTTCTGATCAGGCAGGTCCTGGCGAGGAGGCGGGGTGGGTGGCCCTGTGGAGTGGGGCGTGGATGCTGGGGTAGGGGTTTGGGGAGCAGGGGGCACAGCTAGGTCTGGGTGTCTGGTTCTCCAGGACCTCCACCAGGAATAAATCCTCTCTGAAGCCATCTTTACGAGCTTAGACTTTGAGCCTTTTTTTAAAAAAAGATTTCATCCCACACACGCAGCAAAGAGAAAGCAGGTGGGCAGTGGACGGGCATGTTATCTGAATACTGTGCCCGTGTCCCTGTTTTTCTTCAGTATGTTGTCATTTAGAGTAGAGTCCAGCTGAACCAGGGCCCATGACCCTGCTAACATGCATGTGTCCAGGTGAACAGGTGATTGCGGGCAGCTCTTCTCAGCAGGAAAGCTACTTAATACTGGAATCGGATCAGCCACCGAGAGGCGGTTTGCTCTGGTTTGCGTGTCTACGCAGAAATGGTGGCCAAGTTGGGATGAAGCCGTGTTCCTGCCCCAGGGTGCTCAGTTTCTGGCCAGCAGCAGCCCTCCCACCCTCTGACAGGTTTGGGTGTGGTCTTGGGAATCCACCTCTTGGCAGAGGTGCTGGCTGGGTTAGGCTCTCCTGCTTAGACCCTTCTTGTGACTCATACCCCAAGAATTCGCTACAACTCAGCTTTTTAGTACAGCCCCGAGGCTGGAAAAACCTTCTGGTTGTGACTTTTCAGGAGAAAAGTAGAGGAAATGTTCAGTGTCTCCTTCCACCTGCAGTAGGTGCTCAGCCCAGTGGCCGAGCAGCGGGACAACACCCCCAAACCTGCAGAGGGCATGGCCGGCAGGTGGACGGGCAGTGGGGAGTCACCACCTGCTAGTGGGGGTGTCGGACCCTCACCGCCTGCTAGTGGGGGTGTCGGACCCTCACCGCCTGCTAGTGGGGGGTGTCGGACCCTCACCGCCTGCTAGTGGGGGGTGTCGGACCCTCACCGCCTGCTAATGGGGGGTGTTGGACCCTCACCGCCTGTTAGTGGGGATGTGGGACCCTCACATCCAAGTTGCTGACCACTCTGTCCTTCTTGCAGCAGTCCTGCATCAACTGTGGCCGGGAGGCCCTCAGCGAATGCACCGGCTGCCACAAGGTCAACTACTGCTCCACCTTCTGCCAACGCAAGGTAGTGTCCAAACCGCTGTCCACACAGCTCCCTCCAGGGTAGTGTCCAAACTGCTGCCCGTACAGCTCCCTCCAAGGTAGTGTCCAAACCGCTGCCCACACAGCTCCCTCCAGGGTAGTGTCCAAACCGCTGCCCACACAGCTCCCTCCAG